ATTTATTAAATATGTGGAACTGGCTAAGTAGACATATCCAATACGTTAGGCAAACTGTAAATTTTAACACAAAATTACTAGTAAACTTGAAACCTGTCATAACCAAAAAGAAATCCTGAATTGAATGTTTATTTTCTAGAATTAGAATTCTTAATAATGATGGGCAAATTAAACGTATTTTTATTTATTGTAGATTTATTATATTTTTTTATTATGTTATGTATTTTGTGTATATTAATTTAATCCTAAAAAATAAAATTTTAAAATGAATTTGGTGTTTTATTTATGACCTACAAATCTGTAAATTATAAATGTGAAAGCAAATATATTAGGGTAAATAAGTGTAATTTACATAGCAATTATTTAATATTCTAAATTTCAACTATTACACAACCTATAAAAGCTAATTATCATATCATAATTATTTAATTTTCTCAACAATCTAGAAATGCCAATATTGTACAAATAGAAAGTTGTTCTTAAATAAAAAATATATTCTAGCATTAGTTTATTAGCAAAGAAATACAGCATCCAAATTGAAGGGATTAAAGGAACTGTATATGATTTTCAAGAATAGGTCAAATGTGAATTTATTTCTCATACCAGAGATTTTACCAACTCTCCTCCAGTTTTCATTTTTTAACTAAAAAATAGATACTGAACTTTAGAAATTTCCCAATTTAAACAGTTTTTTACTTTGATTCATTGAAAAATGTATAAGTTACAAAATTAATTTAAAAAAACTGACGACTACAAAATACGAAGAGTGATTATTTTCTCATGAATCCCATCATCAGATCTTTACCAAATTTATATATGAAACCATCTCTGAGGAGCCCCCTTTCTAACAAAAAAATAATCAGAAATCGGACAACATCGTAAAGAATTGTCGCTGAATATCCATAAAAAAATATATTCCGATGAATTGAGAACCTATCTACTTCTTTTTTTGAAGTCTGTTAAAAATTGAAAATACATTGGAAATATTACCACAGTAAATGGGGTTTGCACACATGATAAAAACTTAAACATGTTTTTAATTATGTACTTCTATTTGAAAAAATAATGTACAGTAGAAAGAAATGTGCTTTTCCATGACAAACGGGAAGAGAAAATGTAAAGTAAGTACAAGAAAAAATAGTTTTGGTTTATATAAAAGGGACAAACTATATTTAAATACTGTTGCTTTAAACCACAAATCACAGATTTTTAATCGGGCACTACTAGAAGGGCAGTTAAATGAGTATTTTCCTCTTTTTCCAGTGACTTCTTGGAACCTTTTCTTCATTTAAGCCATTCTATTTATTTTAAGAAATTATATTCATGTGTAAAACATTTTTTCTCTGAACCGACTGTCCTTGTATATTAAAAAATATGAGCCGATGTCGAAAAAAGATAGGGATAGTGTTAACATTTAACCATAGCCGTAAAGGTTGAGCCTCAATTTCATTTTTTACTTTATTTGTAATTAGTTTTCGAAAAAATATTACCAAATTAACTTAAACTTTAAAAATCTCCCGTGATCAGCTGTGAAGCGACAGACTGTCAGTTGGAAAAGCGCCGTTGCCAGTTTTAATCTCAGTTAGTTATTTGTTCTTTAGCTAACGAGAGATTTTAACAATCGTTCTTGCAACTGGCTGTTAGAGTTTTAGTTAGTATATTCACGTGAATATCTCATTTTAAATGCAAATCTATGGTCACTCCTAGATATTTATAATTTTCTTTTGAGTTTATAATAATATTTTGTGATGAGTTTTGTATCGTCATTGTTTTACATTCTGGTAGGCATCTTATATTATTAGAAAATGGCAAAAAAATGTTTTTTCATAATTTATAGTCAGTGACAGATGACCAAACCTGTCAAATATCCGTTCTAAATCATATTCAGCTTTAATTTTTAAATCGTTCCATGTTTTGTTAGTATATAGGACAGCAGTGTCATCTGCAAAGCTGAAACCGAAGTAAGCATTACATTAATATAAATTGAAAATAAAATTGATCCTAGGACAGTTCCTTGAGGTAAACCGTAACTAAAAGTTTTTTCTAACTTGTGATATTATCAATTTTACTACTTGTAAGCGTTCTGATAAATAGTTTCGAAATAATTCATTGGCTACTCCACGTATTCCTGCATCCTCCAAGGCCTGTAACATCTGAGTATGACACACATTATCGAAGGCCTTAGCAAAGTCCAAGAATACACATAAAGTTGGGTTACTTTCTCTAAAAACGTTGAGATGTTATCTACAAGTTCTCCTATGGCATCATTATAGATATATAGATAATATAAATAAAATTTGTGCCTACAGTTGCGGTTATACAAATTATATAATTTAATTTTAATTAAAGATTTATCTAGTGAAATTTTAAATTTGTAATTAAATTTTTATATTAAATATATTAAGAATTTTTAAATACAAACTAGGGATTTTTATTAAATAAAATTTCTGATCAAGGTGTAGTTTATAAAGAAAAAAAAATGGGTTAAAATAAATTTATTTAAGGATTTATATTATTATTACGATTTTGAATGTGGATTTGAAAGTAATTTAATTAATTTATTTAAAATATGCCCGTTGCTTTCATTTAAACTGAAATAACTCGCAACAAAGTAGATTTACTGAATCTAGATTCAAATAAAAGCTTTATAAGCATTTTAGTTACATTAAAAAAAATTGTTAGTTAAATCAATTTAATTTGAAATTAAAAGTTTATTAATAATTATAATATAAATTTTTAAAAAAAGAAATAATTTTTAATTTATTATTATAAGGAAGGAAGGGGGGAAATAAAAATAAATATAAATAAATAAAATTAAATAAAAATAAATAAAATAAGTACTGCGTGCAATCTGGTGATATTAGCAGATGAGAGCCATACAAGAAATGTGGTATAAAATGAGATTTATCAATTATTAGATTAATATATTTAAATATTAGAATAGTCTAATTAACATTAATCTATAATATTATCACAAACATGCCGTGAACAGTAAAACAACATATTATCGCGTCTTTTTTTAGGAAGTCATGCATTTTTTATACTAAAAACACGCCTCCACGCGTGCGAAGCCACGGGCAACAGCTAGTATTAAATAATCTCTAATTTAAAGTAAATATTCTGCAAGATTGGCTATTTTAGATTCAACATATCTTTTTAATCATACTTATTAATTTTACAGTTATTTAATATTACTAATTTATTAAAAAAAAAAGTGTTTGAAAAAAAGGGGTTCTATAAATCCTGCTACATATGAATTGAGAATGGGCTTTTCAAAAGAACGGAAAATATACTGTAAATCTAAAAACTGTAATGTTAGTTTCATTTCATTAAAGTTTTGTTTGTATTTCAATACAGGGTGTCCGCCGGGAAGGTATACTACTTTGTTTGTTTATAATTTTTGATTAAATGAAAGAGAATGGATCTTATATTGATAAATGTTATATTTAATGTCGGCAATTATGTATGGAATACAATATCAGATAAATGTCCGCCTCTGTTAGCCTCACAAATGCGAGCCCTTTTGAGCACATTTTTCATTACATTCTCACACATTTCACGCGGTATTTCATTAATTTCATCACGAATATTTTGTTTGAGTTGCTCAAGCGTTTCTGGTTTGTTTACATAAACCTTGCTTTTCAGATATCCCCACAAAAAGAAGTCCGGATGCCTCAAATCAGGCGACCGTGTTGGCCAATCGACATCACCATTTCTTGAAATAACTTGTGGAAAGAGGTCTCGCAGTAATTCCATTGTAATCCTGGCTGTATGCGATGTGGCACCGTCTTGTTGATACCACAGGTTAATCAAGCCCAAAGCATACAGTTGTGGCGTTAAAAAGTTTTCAATCATATCACGATATCGGTCCCCATTCACAGTTACCGTTACGCCGTTTTCATTTTCAAAGAAGTAAGGTCCAATGATTCCTCCTGACCAAATTGCACACCAGACTGTCACTTTTAATGGATGCAAAGGTGACTGATGAATAATTTGAGGGTTTTACCATTGCCCAGAACCGACTATTTTGTTTATTCACATATCCATTCAAATGAAAATGTGCCTCGTCACTCATTATGATTTTTTTCATGAAATTCGGGGTTGCCATGGGCGAGCTGTAACATACTATTGGCATATGTACGGCGGCGTAAATGGTCTTGTGGAAGAAGCTCTTGTGTCAACTGAATCTTATATGGAAACAAATGCAAATCATTGTGCAAAATTGTGGCCAAAGTTGTTCTTTGAAGACCAAGCACCTGAGCACGGCGTCGAATTGAGGTTGATGGATTGTTTTGTACACTTTCTTGAGCAGCATTAATGTTTTCAGCCGATCTTGCAGTACGTTGTGGTCCATGCTTGGGCCTATCACCTACAGACCCTCTTTCTTGTTGTTTCTTCCAAAAATTTCACGTAACTTTCTCATCGTCACAGTAATCGATGATTGATTTTGATAAAATGTTTTAACGATTAAAACACGTTGGTTTATCGAATATTTTTCCAAAATAAATTTACCACGTGTCTACTTCACGACTGCCAAATATGAACTGTCAAGACTGTTTACCAAAATGGCGGCAAAACAAAGTAGTATACCTTCCCAGCGGACACCCTGTATAAAAACTAGAGTTTAAAAAAAATGTCTTGACGAATATTCAATATGAATGTCTCCCAAAAAAGCTGCTAAAAAGGGCAAGTTTTTCTTTTGCCAATATTATTTAAAAAAATATATTTCTGAAGAGTTTGTAGTTTTTCTATTAATTTCTATTAGTATATCTACAGTTCCGTCTCAAGCTAAATAATCGAGATTCTACAAGTGAATAGTAGTCTATTTTTAAAAGATGTAGATCTAGATTACCTACCTAGTATAATGTAACTTACCTCCTTCTTCACACTACCTTATAAAAAAAATTGTGTCAGTGCACAAAAAAGTTCTTAGAAAACTTTATAAACAATTTCGTTCAATTATAGAATCGGTCGTAGAAAAAATCAGACAAGCTACTTACGATTCAGGGGCGTACTCCATTTCGACGTGATCCTGCCGTTTCCTGGTCAAAATCGGTGGCGATATATTTTTCACAATCGGAGAGGATTGCGTTGTGTAAACAGGTACCGTGGTCGAAGTAGGAATTTGTTGGGGCGATATTTGTAGTTTTGTGGGCGTACCCGGCGCAAGTTTGATCCCTTGCTGTAAATCAAATTAGTATATTTAATTTAATGCCGATAGATAGATAGATGGAGTATAATTACCATTTGGGTGGGCGTGAGCTTGATTGTTTTCAAAACGGGCTGCATTTTGTTAACGTGTATTGGAATGGTCTCTGCAAGGTAAACATTTATATCTTTCATGAGTTGTCTTTTTTTTCTAATAAGGCATAGAATTCTATATCACAAACACACTTTTAGAAAGATACCTACATACTTATCTACAAATTTTCTAAAAAAGTGTTATTGAGCCTTTTTACCACCGACCTTTTATTAAACTAAATGGCTGTATGGCATCATTACATTTGGGCTAAATCTACTCTTTCATAGTCTACAAATATCGTAAACTGCATTATGGTTTCGGGATGTGCATTAGCCAAAAGACTAGCAGACGGTTGCAAAAAACGATTGTTAAAATCTCTCGTTAGCTAATGAACACATAACTTTATCCACTCCCTAAATTATCTTCTAAATGGCAAATTTGGCAACGGCGTGTGGCGATATTCGAGATACGTCCCTATCCAGAGTTTTCTCTGTCTTTGTCGGCCCATTTAAGAGATCACACGGCTGGTGAAGACGAACGATATGTTTTCGCAATGAGCTCAAAATTTGTCATAAGGAATGTGTCTTCGCGTTACAATGCCTGAAAGAAAGTCAAAATCGGCAAAAGTCGAGAGCGTCGAGACTAGAGGAACTTTTAACATGAGAATTGTTTACAAAATATACTTATATTTGAAAGTATGCAAAGAAAACGAATTTTAAGAAGATTAACAATGTGAATGTGGATTTTACGATGGAAAACAAAGGATTATTCACAAATAGTAAGTTTAATTATAAGAAATATTTTTTTTTTTTTAGAAATATTTTCTTGTAGCAAAACCTAATATGCAGTGATAGGACTTTATTAATAATGCAAATGAAAATAACAAATTTTGGGATACGAAAAGGAACAACACGACAGAATATAAAATAATATTAATTACCCTGTTCCAAATTATTAACAAAAAAGTACATTAAAAATCAAATAAAAATTAAAAAGTTAATGGTGTTTTACTTTTTTATTATTAATAAAAAAAAATATACATTTATACGAGTAAAAGTTAAATTCCTGAGCAACATTTATTTTCATTAACTATTTAGGCATTAAAAATAGGTAAGTACTAATTGTCAATACCACAAAATGTTTTTTACTGTTTAAAATGTTTCGGTTTCGGCCCAAGGGGTGTCTTCAGGACTGAATGTAGCTATTATCTACGAAACTTTTTTTATTAAAAAGAGAACAAAGGTATTCAAAAGTGTGATGTGTTCAAGATGCCACAGGAGGGGAAACGTTTTCTTTTATAAAAAGAGTATGATAGGTATGTTATCGGTTGTTAGAGAAGATGTATTTAAGCTGGTTATATTTAACTTTATCAAGAAAGGGATGGAACAAGTACCTAAGTGCCTTCTGACAAGGAAGAAAGCGATGAGGTAATAACTGAGAATGTGGTAACTGCGAAAGAGGTGAGAAACAAAAATCTCCCTCCATAAACCTGCTGAGTTTTTGTATCCCAAGAGACTAAATTAATACCAGTTGGCTAAAAGTAACATTAATAACTTCAGTAGTAACCCTAAAATATTGTCATTTAGATATTTAATAGAACTAATAGGAATTTAAGGATCTTAGAATGTCATAAAAGTTACTAAAGATCGGGGATATTTTCAGTATTACATTTCTTGTTCTAATAGATTACGTGGGATACGTATATTGTTTAAGGCTTGTTCATTACTATTCGAAAAAGCAAAATGCATTTCTAGATTTACCTCAAAACAGCTGCCTGTATATCTCCTTTTTTATGCTTTTGTCACAATATGTAGACCATTTTCCAAATTCTGATGCGTATAATTTTTTTTTCTCAGCATTTATTTCTTTTGTTGGACATTTTAACAAAAACCTAGCTAAATTTAAAATGATATGCAAGAAGAATAATTAGTTATAGCCTAAAAATTATTGTATCATTAACTAAAGGCTTGTTAATAATGTCCCATTAAAAAACAGTTAAATAAATATTGTGGACATCTTCCATCTTTTAAAAATTATAATCGAAATTATTTTTATTAATATACATTATTATTTATACATACACGCATTTTTATACAACATTTTATATATTTTGGATTTAGTATCAAGGTAGGTAGCATAGATAAAATAATATGCATATTATTATATCTATGGTAGGTAGGTAACAAAGTTGATTTTGTAGCAAGCGTTATAAAAAAATGTATCCTAATTTTAAGAACTAAATCCATTGATTTTCTAAAGCAAATTACCTAGTTACCCTTATGTTTTATGCAACTGGATTATTTTAACAAAAAATTTAATAAACATTCTTAAAGTCTACCGTCTAGGTAGGTACCGTAGGCAAAATAATATTACAATTTCCAAATTCAATCTGCCGTGCGTTTAACCAGATTTGGAGGTTAACTTATGACCAATGATATATACTTATATAGATTGCTCATTTATATGTAAATCGGGCATCGAGACAGAATAAAGACTACATAAACAATATTTTGCGATATGACAGATGGACGCACTTCGAGTGACGGAAAAGTGTAATGAAAATGGCGATTTGAGTAGTATTTTGATATATTTGAAGTCAATAATTTTATTTATGAAGACTGACAGAATAAAAATGATTTTATATCATTTAAATGAAGCTATTTAACAAAAATTACATTTATTTTCACCAAAACTGACTAGACAAGACGCGAGTTTCACTAGGCGAAGTTTTCTCTAAATCTATGCTGCGTTTGAATATCCATATCCGATGCATTTTTTAAATCTCGAGTGTTTGTTTATCCACATCGGACACATCTGTCCTACTACATTTACGTATACTGAATCACGTGATCAAAAATTTACAACATCTCAGATGCATCCGAGGTGGATATTCAAACGCGGCACTAATACGTGCAGTTTTCTCTCAATTTTGAGTACTCAGTTATAAATTGTAAACATAGTGTCAGAGGCAGAGTATTGTATTAAAGCACTCATGAGTAATTCACAATGAATAGCTTCGCAAAATACTCATAATAAGTATCTGAGTATGAATACTCACTCATATGAATAATACTTTCACACATTTTAGAGAGTACTTTGAGTACTTAAGTACAATTATGAGTATACTTGTACTGCCCAGCTGTGTATAGTGCTTTCTTGTCATTAAGATTTTTACAGATTTAAATGTACATTTTATAGTTATAATTAACCCGGGCATTTACCATTGGGCTAGTAGAAGCCCACCAAATGGCCACTTCAAAAAAATGGGGCAACTAGAGACACCTCTCGGCGATGTTAATAATCTACAGGACTTTGATGATCTGAGAAGATGGATGTCTGTAGTCTACAGACACCCCTCAGCGTCAAACAGCAGGTTTTCTTTCTGCAGGACTTTTATTAGTTGAGAAGATGGCTGTTTGTAGATACCCCTCAGCGTCAACCAGCAGGTTTTTGGCGGGTTGATAACCTGCAGGACTTTTATGAGCTATGAAGATGCAGCTGTCTCTAGACATCTCTCAGAGGCAGGTTTTATATACTGGAGGATGCACAATTGGCCTAAGTGCTGTGGAAGTATCCACCTTCCCCACCTTACAGATAGTTTATATTGTTAATTGAAACTAAAGTAGGATGTTGCTATGAAATTAGAATGTCCATTTTGACAAAAAATATCATGTGGTCCTATTTATAAGATGGCAGCAATTTATAAAATTAATTTTAATAAATAATCAAGAAAACTTTGTTCTGCATAATTGTTAATACATTTTTATTATATTAATCACTGTTTTTTATGTTTTATGGCTCAGATATTCACAATATCTCGGTTTATGATTTTATGTGTTTTGTGTAGGCTTTGTTACTGTTTCCCTGTTAAAAAATTGTTTAAATCTCTTAATATTATTTGACGATGTGAACACAACATTACAACACGAAAAAATTTGTGTTTAAAACACCTTACATAATATCGGGTCTTAAAGTAAATTAGGTCATTCTTTTTTTTGTTTCTAAATATTCAAATGCTGAATTTTTATTTTAAAACACGTTTGGGCCAGAACGATTTTATTCAGTGAACACTTGAAAAGGCGCTTTTCGTAGTCCTATTTAAATATGGGTAAGCAATCTTTATAACGATATATAGCATTGGTCATATTGCGAAAAACGTACTATGTTGCCAGATTTACGACGTTCAATAGCTATCGAGGATCGGGATGCATTTTTTATGGATCATTAGCGTTAATGTTAATGAGTCTATAAATATTTAACGATCGTTCTTGTAACCGGCTGTTAGCATTTTAAAATTTATGGAATGGACTGTTAATACAAAGATATACTCATATAAAAACATTCTTCAAGACTACTCATTAATACCAAGTGCTGCAAAATTATATACGAATGGAGATTACATATTGCAGCAGGACGGTACATCATGTCTAACAGCAAAAACAAAACAAAAATGGTTTGGGGACAATAATATTATAGTATGTTACATTACGAGTGTGAAAAATGTACAAAATTTTTCCTATGACCACAAAATAATTTTACTAAAAAAAAATGTAAAACCAGAAAATTTGGGGCTATAAAGGTTCCATCAAGAGTAATCAAAATAGTACAAAATAAATAGCGAAAAGATTAAGTGTAGGGTTATATTATGATAAAAACCATGTATTTAAAATATTAAACAAAAGTCTTATTTTTCCAAAATAACTAAAATAAAAAATATGCTTCAAATTGAACCCGCGTCGCGCATAGTTGCGACATGCTGAGTTGAACACTCTATGTTATGTCACTTGAATTATCTAATCAAATAATATGTTTATGAACCAGGAAAAACAAAAATAATGTAGGTAGTTACTTTAAAATTCTTTTAATAATATTTTAAAAATAAATAGATAGGATACTCAAATAAAAACAAATAATAATAAAGACTCAACTTTTGAAATGTTATCTATTTTTTAGAATAAAATAACATTTTCAAAATCAATAAACCCAAAATTTTTTATTTCATAAAAAAAACTTACTTGCAACTACTTTTGGAGGGGTTCCTATACTCCTCAACACTTGCGTCGTTGAAATTGGAGTAGCCGTGGCATATATCTGAAACGAAAATTTCAATTTTATGGTAAATGTTTTAACGTTTCAATCCATATTTTTATTGTTGTTGATTAAAACCGATTCAAACTCGTATAGCTGACATTAAATGTCATTAAATGAAAATCGGAATGTTTCATAATGCTGTGCAATCGGTAATTAGCTAACCATAGGCGAATAATATAAGACGGGGACTCAAATAAAGAAAGAGGGGGACTTCGCAACATTGCAAATACTTATAGGTTTGTTTTTTTTCTAAAAGACAATTAAAATAAAAACAATTTATGAAATTCAGTACTTGTGAAACAATAAACTACATAATTTTAAAAAATTTAATAATAATAATTACAAAACTTCACGATATTATACAAAAAAATTAATCTAATGCACCCGGAAATAGCAATATTAATTATCGTCGTGCTAGCCATTTTCAACCAGTCCGGCCCTAATCTGTATTTACGTTATCGCCGTTCAGCAGCTCGACTGTGTTCCGCTTTCGCTACCTGCCTCGAAACTCAAGAAGTTACTGGAAGGTTCTTTTGCGCACGTGCCAATTCATGGAGGAAGGGTTACGAGAACGTCTAGAGCATCGAGACTATTTGAGACAGGACTAGACTTTTCTAGGACGTAACATTTTTGTATATAAGTGTATTCTTTTGCCGTTACTTAGTTTAGAGATAAATACTGTCGAGGAAAGATTAATAATTGTTAAAGTAAATATAAATCAGTGTAGTTTTGATTACACATAAAATAGTTATAAAATGAGTATATTTAGTGAATACAAATTAAAATAATTAAACTGTTTAAAATACATAAGCGAAAAGGTAGAAAAGAAAAAAGGTTCTGTAAATCTCGCAAAGATATGTATTTTTTACTACGACCGGTTTTGAAGTGTATCACTTCATCTTCTGGTACGCCTAGTGGGCAAGAGAAAAGGAAAATTGGTGAATTTCTATTGGTAGCAAGATGAATTAAGGATTTAATTTAAGAAATATTAATAATACTAATCCACTAATAATACTAATATTATTATATTAGATACCTAGCAATTACTAATGTACTCATAAAACACACTGTATATTAAAAATTTTACTTTTTGGCACTCATTACACTTCAAAAAATGGGGAAAATATTGTGGGGCTCAGATGCACTATATACCTTCCTACCTTATAGCGTCACATATGCGTCACACTCTAGGCGACCCTTCGTTACGTGGCAGACCTAGTATATTAACAAAGGTTGAACTCATCTCGTCAGCAACTTCGGTTGTCAAGAATATTTTATTGATACATAACTTTCCATTTGCAATTTATTATATGACAAGTCATTCATTTACCGTATCGGTAAGGTGCGGGGATGGTGAGTTGCTCCACAAGACTTAGGCCTCATAAGCCGCATTGTGCATCCTCCAGATTCTTTTGCCATTTTAAAATTATACATTTATAACTAGATTTCTAATTATTTTATATAATTGGATCTTAAACTAAACAAGACCACAAAGCATGTTAATCAAAATTAAATATTTCTAATTTAGGAGTATTAAATACATGTTTTTATTAGGTTTTACTTTTTGCTTTAATCCTTATTTTTATAAATTCTTCGATCTCTTATTTAACAATCTAATAGACACTCTATAACCACAACGTGGCGTCGCCGCCTATATCACAGCCATCTTTAATTGTTCTTTACGCACCCGACTAATTTTGTACGCTTAAGCATCGAAATGCATACACGGGGTATATTTGACACTAAACTTCTAAATTTTAATATAAAACACATATTTTTTTATTTGTTCCTCCTAGATAATTTTCCATTAACTTACTTCACTGAGTTTAGCAAATATTGAAAAATAAACATTTTATAATGCTTTATTGACCACAGTATGCAGTGTATTTATTACCAGAACAATATGTGCCATCTTAGTCGTTTGAATAACCTTGTATGTTTTTGCACTATAAAGGCTTAATAGTTGGGGAATCACCAAAATAGGATCAATTTTTATTTACTTTTACGTGCAAATACCTAAGTTGATGTTTTAAACTGTGTATAGAAGTCATTAAAATAAACAACTTTTTCAAAAAAAACTAAGAAACTAACAATAAATTATTCCAAAATGTAACCAATACGGTCCTGTCGAACTTAAATAATGTGTAGAACTTTCGTCGTTGAACGTGAAAGAGATATAATTTATTTTCCCGCTATACAGGGTGTCCCGAAATTAGACGGTTATGTTTTAACAGCGTAATCTACATCCTAAAATAGAAGTAAAAGTTCATATAAACATAGGTCCGAAAACGTTTCGTTTTCGAGATACAGGGTGTCCTGATGGCACATTTTTGTTAAAAAAAAAAAATTCTGATTCCACAGGCTTACTAATTATTGTTTACACTTTCAAATAAGATAACATCAACTTATCATGATATTTTCAAATGCTTTTCTCTTGAAAATGGTGCGTCCTAGCGAGATACAACAAAAGTAGCTTTATTATAAAAAATATTGGTTTTCCAAATTTTGTAGTCAAAAATGTTAAAAACAGTCAACAAAAAAACTTAGGACAATTTAACCCTAAGCCCCTCCCCTAATTTACCCACCTATGAAGATGAACAAAAACTGCCGTTTAGTCCATTAAATGGAGCGTAAAAAGTTTAGCATTTAGCATCTGTAAAAGTTTAGAAAATATTTACAAAAATGTGTCATCAGGACTTCATTTTTAACATCCTGTATCTCGGAAACAAAACGTTTTCGGACCTATGTTTATATACACTTTTACTCCTATTTTAGGATGTAGATTACGCTGTTAAAACATGACCGTCTAATTTCGGCACACCCTGTATTATCAACTCTTTTCTTTAACTTATTCCCACTTTATTTGCAATCACCTGTATACTTGTTGTATTTTCCTCCATAACATTTAAAATGTGTTCTTCTAAACGCATTTAATTTTCAATTTACCAAACTGAATATGTAAATTCACTACTTTAGATAAACATGCTACTGAAATCACACGCGAAAAAACCGAAAAAAAAAAAAAAAGAAAAACTTACTTATTATTTAGCGTAACTTTTCATACACACGTCCAGTCCCGGATTTAGATTTTTTTCATTCTATATCTTCCTTATTTTGACTTTTTGGTTATTGAAGATATTTATTTTATTGACTCCTCTGCACAGTTAAAAATATACCAACTTAGGATTCACCCTGTATAGTGTTAACCAATTTTAATCGACTAGTATATTGTTGATTTTAAGCTCAATTATTTTTCTGACGCTTCTAATAATATATTTTTTATTTGGGGTGAAACTGACCCCTCAATTCTTATATTGTAAAGTTTTCATCGGTATGTACGAGGTATTAAGTAATTAAGTACCTAATTAAGTAATGATACTGCAAAAAGACGTATATTTTAAAAATAAGGTACATCGATATGATCTCCTTCAAAATACTCCCCTTGGGTAGCTACACACTGAGTGCAGCGCTTTTTCCAGTTCTTGTAAAACTTTTGGAATACTTCCGACTGACAGTCTCAAGAATGAAGTTTGTATTTTTCAAAATGCTTCCTTTTACCCGGGGAACGGAAAGTCACAATGAGCCATATCAGGCGAATAGGGTGGGTAGAGAAACACTGGAACGGTTTTTGAGGTCAAAAATTGCTTTATACAAAAGTCACGATGACATGGCGCATTCTCATGATAAAGGATTCATGTGTTTACGATTAATGGTCTGCCCAGGTGGCATGAACGTCTTATGCTGTCATTTGCTGTCAAAGAAGCAAATCATCATTTTGACTTTGTATTTTGCAATTCTTGCTTTTTTTTTGGCTATGCTGAGCTAGTAGACATCCACTGTTGGCTTTGCCGTTTTGTTCAACCTGTTAAAGACAATCCTGCGCGTTGGACATGTCCTTACGTCGCTCTGTTTCCGTGACACACATCGTATACACACCGACTTGAAAAGTACGATACAGCTGGAGAAGTAACGATCGTACGAGAGTCGCATGCACACCAATCCATAGAGGAAAAATAGGATATTAATCACACATTCAGGTTCCCAGTATTGCAACATACACGGCAAAAAAATGAGTCTCATTACTTAATTGTCAGACCTCGTATATTTATAATATCTACATAAATATATTAAATTTTTTTGAAAATAATTATATTTTAGGACTAACACATACACGAAATGGATGATACAAAAACGTCCGTTAACTCAAAATGAATTAGAAGAAGTTTCCCATCAAATTGAAGATGACGAATAAAGAAGACAATGATGATTTCCACAATGACGAATAGAAAAAGGATTTGGAAGAATCTGAAATTAAGCACTATGATTAATTTGATGCAGTTAATCTACAAGAATCTGAAATAGAATTTGTTGTCGTCTTTTTACCATTGACAAGACATTGTGCATGAGAACAAAAAAGAGTTACTTATTCACGTAATGGCCATAAATGGTATTTAAATAGCTTCCGAGCCAAAAATACAAGAGCTTCTAAGAAGAATTTAGTTTTTCACTTGCATAGATGTAGATATAAGAGAATAAATAGCTGTTTGCATAAAAAAAATAGGATAACTTACTTTTGGGAAGACCCTCGTATATACTTTTGTACAAATAAATAAATTTATTGTTGTTATTAACAGCACCCTCATTACTGACGGTGTCATCGATCCCGAAATATAGGTATAATTCCATTCCTACCTCTTAGCCAAATCCTTTTAAGAAAAGTTATGACCAAATTCAAACTTCGGCCCCGCCTTATTTGGGGTGCCCCTTTGTAGGCCTCGCGACCGTGACAATGAAATTCGGTTATTTTACCGACCCCGTTGACTATAAAGTAGTGCACATAGTAATCGTAATCATAGACACCTGCAGCAGCAAAAGTCGCACTTTTTGTGCCGGCGAACCATCTGTTGAGCAACGTTCAGGGGTGTATAAGTATTCGATGGGTTATTGTTAATATAACGGACAAACGACAAAAACTTGTTGGATGTTGTCGCCTGCACTGC